TTCCGTTTAACTCGGAAACTCAAGTCTTCCAACAGCTGACCTTGGACTCTTCAGAGCATGACCTTCAGCAGCTCCCTATGGTTTCGGTTCGTATGCATTACAGCTTAAGCTTCAAGCGTTCCGCGCTTCTAATCCGCCAACCCCTCGCCAAAGAGGGCAGGCGCACGGGAAGGGTGGCTGGCACATGAGCATAACCGAAGATACATCATCATCATCATCATCAGCACCAGCATCATAATCATCATGATGCGATCGTCATCCTCATGATCACCATCACGGTGATCATCAAACTAGGTTGATCCTGCCAGTAGCTTGTCTCGTTCTCCTTATCTTGTTGATATACATGTACGTGTTGGTGCTGCTGCACAAATTTTAGCTCTCACGGTGGGCACCGACAGCAACACATCACCAACAGGATGATAATCATCACACCCATCCCCAGAATCTCCAGCATATCCAGCCCTGCTTGATGGAAGGTGAGTAGTGATGATTCATCCTCATCTGATCATCATCCTCACATCATCATCATCATCGTCGTCGTCGTCGTCCTTGTTTTGTTTAATACGCGTTTCACATGTGCCGTTGGACCCGGCTTGAGATGCAAAGGGTGCGTAGCCATGATTATCATCACGACTGTTGGTGATGCTGGGGATGCATAGTTCTGATGATCACCATGGCTGTCATCATCATCATCATCATCATCATCGCATGTTGAGGATGAGCAGTGATGATCACCATTATCATCCTCATCCTCATCCTCATCATCATCCACATCATCCATCATCATCCTCATCATCTCGTCAGCATCATCATGATGGTGAACATCATCATCATCATCATCATCATCATCATCATCATCATCATCGTTGTCCTTATCTTTTTGATGTACGTTTCAAGTTTGGCGTTAGACCCAGCTTGAGATGCAAAGGATGCGTAGTCATGATTATCATCATGATGATGCGGGGGGTGAGTACAGTAGCGATCATCATCGTCCTCCTCATCACGTCATCCTCATCATCATCCATCATCATCTCCTGGTGCTCAGCATCGTCCGTATCTTCTTGCTTTGCGTTTCAAGAGTGCCGATAGACCTGCCTTTGAGATGCAAAGGATGCGAAGTCATAATCATCATCATGACTGCTTGCGATGCATGGGATGAGACGTGATGACCCTCATCCTCATCATCCTAATGATCATGCTCCTCATCATCCTCATCATCATCTTTTTGAGGTACGTTTTAATTGTGCCGTTCAAGTCGGGTCTAAGGGTGCGAAGTCACGATTATCACGATGAGCGCTGGTGATGCTGGGGTCATCATCATCATCAGAGACAACGCCTGGGATGTTGGTGCCGAGTCAGGATTTTTGTTCGCCGTATTGCCATCATCGTGATGATCCTCAACATCGCCATCATTGCTCGTCTCATTCAGTCATCATCATCATCATCATCATCATCATCATCATCGTAATCATCATCATCGTAATCATCATCATCGTCATCATCATTATCCATCCTACATCCTCCATCCTCCATCCTGCATCCTCCATCCTCATCATCCTGATCATCCTGATCATCCTCATCATCATCATCATCATCATCATCATCATCATCATCATCATCATCATCATCATCCCATCCTGCGCCGGGCCAAGCTTGGACAATTTTGCCCACGCTGGATCCTGCATGAACGACAATTTTGCCAATGCAGGAGTTTGTCCGTCATTATCATCTTTCGTCATCGTCATGATCATCACCATCATCATCTGTTCGAGGGACTGCTGGGCGGCCACAAAGAGAAGGTCCGTGTTCACCAACCGGGCTGGGTTGTGTCAGGGTGTAAATCCGGCCACCAGGGTTTCATCCAGAAAGCGAGCCTGTTTTTGTGGGGTACACATAGTGGACAACATCCCCGGCAACACCTGCATCATCCGCATGGCGGGTGTTAATGCAGATGATGCTAGTGATGCGGGCGATGCTGTCTGTGGTTTTGATGGTTTTGCATGGATTCAACGCCGCATCGATGTGGAAAACGTGAAAACACGTGTTTGTTTTACGCGTTTTGGAAGGCATGGGCAAAAAAGTTGAAAAACACAGCGGTTTTTTGTTTTTTGTTTTTTTCGGCAGGCGCAAGCTGCCGGCTATTTAAATAGGTGCTGAATGCAGGATGATTCTGAGCTTGCCCCTCCATGCCACTTCATGCCACACGCCACTCCATGCCACTCGCCACTCCATGCCACTCGCCACTCGATGCCACTCCATGCCCCCTCCATTCAGCAATGCGACCTCTTTGCTGATCCCTATTTGTTCTTATGGTGCGGAATCCCTCTTTGTCACTGGCCAGGTGATCTTAGGCGATTTCATGCGAACCTTCACCAGAAAACTTTTCAAGCACAATGAAAGATTGATACTTTGAACATGTTTCGTGATATCAGTGTTAGGCAGTTTGATGATTCAATTGCCTATCTTGGTGTAGAAGTCATGCAACTCTGTTCACATGCAAGCTTGCAGTGCCACGCGAGTAAACCTGGACACGCGTTTGGTAATTAAATGTCTTCCCTTAGGCCCGGACCATCCAAGGCAGCGCTCATGGAGGCGCCCGGCCTGTCGGACTGGAAGGTGTTAGGCTTTTGGCCGCATGCTGCTTCTTTGGGCCGCATGCCGCATGCTTTTTCAACATTTTCGGCTTCCTTTGAGACTTGGCCCTGGGAGGGTTTTCGCAAGGGGCGGGGTGCGGCTCAGTGATCGGTGCATTCATTGGAAAGCGTGCTTCTGATTCCTGAAAGTGTGTCAACCATGTCAAGCATGCATACTCCATGTCCTCCCAAAAAGGCCACGTGCTGTGCGGGCCTGTGTTATAGCAAGACCCAGAAAGACACAGCTCACAATAGCTTTTGTTCGCCTTGGGGCAGAGTTGGCAAGTTTTATGCCAACTGGTCACCGCGTCGTCCAGTAAGGCAGCAGTAACAAGGCAAAGATGTTCTTCAGAAAATTGAGCTGCGGCGTTTGGCAACCTCGCTACTGGACAATGCAAGTGCCCTGATCAATGCGCCACTCTCGCTGCTGCAGGAAAAGCTGGACAATCGTCGGGCATTAAACCGGCACTGCGCAAGACCTTGCTGCTGCAGGCCCTTGGCAGCTCGCTCATGCGTAAAGCGCGCCGACCCTTTTTGTGCATTATCCTGGAGGAGCGAACTGCCAAAACTTGTCTGCACACTCTGCAGGCAACTGCGTATCTTGAGCATTGCTGCTGATGCCTCTGCTTGGCAGAGGCACCCCGGCAACCCTCCGTACATTTACCGTCCTCACTCAATGTTGTACACCCGCCTGTACCAAATGATGTATTCTGCATACACCTGGCTTTCGTCCTCAGTCGAACACCGTGAAGAGAGCAAGGCCAGCTTCAAGGCCCAAAAAGAGGTTTCTCTGCTCTTCTGTGGATGTGATCTCTGTCTGGCATGTGTTCTAGGGCCTGCCAAATTGGCAGTCAACAGTTGTACTGATATAACACGCTGTCGTTGATCCTTGTTGACTGCCGTCGCAGTTCCTGACTGTAAATTTGCATGTGCTGCTTGCTGCCAGGCAAGCCTTGAAGAAAGTGTCCTTCAAAGAAACAACACTGCAAACATGACAAAAGAAACTGACTCTGGTATGGAGAAGAAAGGTAAGATTGAGCGGCGGTCCTCTGCAATGATTCCTGGCAGTTGGAGTGCGAAAAAGAAATATGAAGTGGGGGATGTTTGCTATGTTACAGCCCCCAAGCCGTTATCTTCAGGTCTGCTTGGGCTTGCAAGCAGATGAAGTCAGTGTACCACAAAGTGTGAAGAACGGCCCAAGCACTCTTTGAAGCCTAAACTAACATTCCTACATCTAGAGGAGGTTGATGAATGATGGCCCGAAACAATTGTGGATGTCCATTCTTTATATTGGCCAATCGCAAAGCTTGGTGCAGCCCAGAAGCGTAGACAATGTATTCCTGAAATGCAAGGGTCGAAAATGACTAGACTGTATTTCACACTTGCCTGACAAAGATTGACCACCGCAGTTTGAGTTGACGGATTCCCATGCTTGTTGACGGTATATCGCACCATAATATTGTGCATCTGAACAAACTCCAATTGACATTGAACAAATACAATGAAGCTGCGACGCTAAGACGCTTGGCAGCATTTTGGTTGGCACATCGAGCTGCGCAATCCAGCTGGCACATTGGTGTTGAGTCGGGCGGCATTGTACGCGCGCAAGCCCTTCACCGAATGGTAACCACCAGCATGGCAGGCCTGCAGGTGTCAAGGGCAGCACGTGTTTCTCAAGTATTGGCTCTACATCAGAAGTCAAGCATTTTCTGTGGACCCCCCACGCCTTCATGCACTCACGACCACCTTCATACTGCTTGATGGCTCGGCCCATTGTGCATCGGCACAGAATCATCGTCCTCAGACCTGTGGGGTCAGGATCCGTGTACTCCTTAGTTATCAAATAAGATGAGCAATCAGTCATTGCGCCCGGCAAAACATGCTCTCAGCGCTCTCAGCTCAGCTCATGAATACAGGTGGATATGTACCAATCCAAACTGCTTGTGCTGTTTTGCACGGAAATCTGCCAAGCTGTTTATCAATATAATCCAGGAAGCGTCACTCTTCGTCACCTCACTGGCACACAATGCCCACAAAACCACACACATCTTGCCTGGACAAATGCTGAGAAGCAATGTCGAAATCGTTGTGGTTTTTGCCCGCTTGACATCATGTCGGGCACTGTCCACGCTAAGCAGAAGACAGAGTCAGCCAGGTAGATGCCTGGACCAAACATAGTGCCGCGGTTGCTGCCCGCCATTTTGACCTGATGCATGGGCTCCTGCCTGGAATTTCATGACCAAGCAACATAATGCTGGCCATTGAGACTGCTTGCAAAGCCAATGAATGTGCCCCAAACTGGTCTCACGCAATGCAACCCCGGTTCTAGGGTTGGCAAGGATGGGCTCAGGCAACCATTTGGGTGTGCCGATTGTTGTCCTGTTTGTGGCTGGTTTAGAAATCGTTTAGTTTGCTCCAACCACCAAGCCGACTGCGAAAAGAGGGCGGAGAGAGCAGAGAAGAGCTGGGATAAGAGCGAGGCAGAGAGGCGAAGAAAGCGGAGAAGAGTAAAGAATCAATAGGTTTCACTTCAAGAATTTACTTTGACCTACGTCTTCAGCTAGGTAAAGGAGCTTTCATGACAAAATCGCTGAAGAAGATGCCAATGCAAGGCATATTGCTTGAATACGAAGCTAACCAAGCCTAAGCCAAGCCCAAGGCCACAGTCACCAAGCCATGCGGCTGCTTCACAACGGCCCCAAGCGATGTTGCCAGCAAAAACTTGCCCAGTCAACCAAAGAGCCCATGGTTTCTGCGCGGGCCAGTGCTAGGGGAGTATTTGTGAGAGACCTCAACAAACATTGGGTGCCGGCAGGCGTGTGCCCCGCTGGAGATTGTTGGTGCTGTTCAAAAGGCAAGGTTAGAAACTGTCCAGGCTCGGTCTCATGTTTTGCAGTTGATTCGTATGGCCAAAACAGGTCGAAACGCGCTTTTATGCGCTGGCGCCAACATGGTGCACAACGTGCCGAGCAAAGTTATCTGAGCACTCAAGCATCGATGCACCAAAGCAACCGCCCAAAGAATGCCACCAAACCTGAACCAGTCTAAACACTGTACAAACTGTACAAACTCTCTGATGTTTGCCCCTCTACCACCTTGCCTGAAACTCATTCTCGGTGATGCACTCCGCCGCAAACTCTCGTGTGCCGTGGAAAAGCCAGAGCCTTAGATTTTTGTAGCCAGGAGAACTGCGCACACAACGGATGGTGAACACCCATGCCCCTCTTACGTGCTGAGCTCGCAACCCGTTTTTTGATACCAAAAGCTTGATTTGTATCTTCCCAGGTCCAATGCCTGCCCCCTCTAAGTCAGAGTCAAGGAAACTCACAAGGAAAGGACTGATGCTCATAGAAATCCCGACTGCAACAAGCTCAGCGAGAAGAGAGTCTTGATGGCTAGGCTAAAACGACAAAGCGGCTCACTGGCTTTCGTGTTGAGCTCCTTCGCACTCAGGTCCTCAGTCGCTTGTCCCAACAGATCTCATCCGCTGGTGAGTGTTTCAACAATTTGAGCGGCAAACGATGCTACGGCACCCAAGCGTCCATCACTCTGCCAAAGAAGAGAACTGTTTTTGCCAAGTGAGGCACTATGGGGGCAGTACTGCCTCTCAATATTGCGCCTCTCCCAATGTTGTATTCAATGTCATAATGGTGGGCAATACACGCACAAACACACAAGCACAAACACTAGCAAAGCACGTAAACACAACCACGCAAAACCTCACACACAAAACACTCACGCACAAAACACAAGACGCGCAAACACAACAATCGCAAACACAAACACTGACACAGACACAGACACAGCACAGACACTCACAAAGAGGAGAGAGAGCGCCGCACAAACCACACACATACACACACACACACACACAGGCACACACAGGCACGCAAGCACGCAGGCACAAGCAGCACGCGGGCACGCAGGCAGACACGCACGGACGGATGGACGGAAGCACACACACACAAACATATGCATATATATATATATATGTATAGAATACATATGTATACCCGCGCGCGCTCTCACAGTCCGGTGCTCTCTTGTCCCGTGATGTCCAATTCTGCAGACATCGTAAAGGAGAGACAAAGGCCCTGCCTGCCCTTCAACAGCTGCGCCTGCCTCACTGAGCTGCGTGAAAATGGGAAGATCTCAGCTCCACGCCACCGTAGCAGACTGACGATAGCCCCAGATCTGCGACAGAAACGGCTGCACCACGTGTGTTGTGCGCCGGCCAAGGAGGGTCCTGGCAAGAATGGTTCGCCGCCAATCTGCAAAAAATACTGTGCGGCGCCCCATCCTTTTTGGCCGATAGTTGGCCAAGTTGGGCCGCTCTTCCTCCGAGACAGGCTCCAAGCAGATCTCCGTGCCCTCTGCATCGACCACGCCTGTCTTGCAACAATTGCTTCTCACAAGCATTTCTGCCATGACACTGGTTGATGAGGAATCTGCGCACTCCGTGCCATGCTTCGAACTTCCAAGCCTTTGAAGGTTGTGGAGTACAGGCTGATGCCGTTGCCCAACCTCACAAAGCGGGCTTTGAGCAAGGCAAAGCCAAACCGCAGTAAGGTCACGGCTCGGTGAGCCAGATGGGATATAGCTCGCCCACAAGATGCCTTCAGTGTGTATGCAAAATACAATGCGAAAGGTGCAGCAGTTCACACCAACCCCAATCCGCTGCGCTCAAGGCCGTTGTTTAAACGTGGACAAGTCAATATGAAAATGAACCATGGGGCAGATTGCTGATTCAAGACCAAAGAATGCAAGCCCAGGGAAGGCAGCAAGCTGCTCCTGCCGCTCGAGGTGCCCAAAGCATGGCCGACCATAAACCAAGGCGCATGAGCATCGGCGGCTGGCCGCTCTCCCCCAAGATCTGCCCTTCTTCTTGCAGGATTGATAGTTCACGATCAAACCACGCAGTGCCTGATGCGGGAAAAAAACAACCAAGAGCGCGAGAGCTGAAAAAATATGACTTGTAGTGAACAAGTCTAAGGCCTCTGCAGCACACACACACACACACACACTCATACAGAGGCCCACAGTGACAAAGGGCTCAATATGACAAAGGATTCCATTGACATCTGAGGGTTTCTTTGCATGAGATGCACACTCGGCCAGATTGTGCTGAACAGCGCAAGCCCCCAAAATAGGTTCTCGCATGAACCCCGGGGTCTGCAACGAGAATTGGCCTGACTGCGAAAAGCATGGATGGTAATTAGCCTCTTGCAAACAAGATTCACAACATATCTTTTGGCCCCTACACAAGTTGGTTCTTCAAGCAGCGCCACCAACTGCAATGTGAAGAGTTTCCACAAGGCAAACTCGCAGCTCCTCGGCGGGATCGCGATACCTTCTTCCGAAGCCTCCGCAATGCGAGGAGTCGTGACAGTCATGCGAGGCAGCATCATGTCACCTTCAAGCAACAATGGTGCAAATGCTTGCTGCTTCGTGAAAGTATTGCTCAGAAAATATTGGGGCCGAGTGTGACCTTCTGATGCGCGCGCAAGACCCAATCATGTGCTTCTTCGCTGACCCCACTTCTCACCCTCTTTCTCTCATTCTTGAAGCGGCCCTTCTGAGCCCTTACTCTGGGGCCGGCAAACATCTCAAATGGCTCAACTTATCAAGTTGTGATGCGCCACTGGCATGTTCGGATCTCAGTCGCGGCATGAGCCTCGTTGTGAAATTACTGCCCTTTTTTATGGAACCATGTCTTTGCACGAACCAATCAACTGAACAAAGGTCCAGGTCAGGCAGGCCACGGCGTCTTACGTTTTGTTACGTGACGTACATAAATATGTAAATATGTATGGGAATACAGATATATATATATATATATACACATTCGCATATATATATATATATATGGTCACCCCCCCCTGCATGACCTACCGTTGTCTTTCAAAAAGTCGTTGGGGACCATTAGCAGACAATAAAAAAGTGAAAAAAAAAACATGTTTTTTATGGTTGTCGATTAAAAAACAACACAGTCAACCATTGAAAAATTAAGAAAAACCAGTGTGTTTTGATGGTTTTAGCAAAAAATGTGCAAACACCCATGTTTTTTTTTAGAAAAAACAGGAAAGCATTCAAAAAAACAAGTGTAAAAACTGATATGTTTTTCAGATAGATCCCTAAGTCAAAAACTAAGAATTCCCTGGGTTTTTGATGGTTTTGCAGTAAAACCTTCAGAATTCCTTGGGTTTTTAGCATTTTTCACATAAAACCAAGAAAACCTCGAGAAAACCAAGAATCCAAGAATCCAAGATTTTCAGGTAGATGTTTGGTCCACTACAAAATCTTGGATTCTTGGTTTTCTCGAGGTTTTCTTGGTTTTCTTGGTTTTACTTGGGAATTCTTGGATTTCCAGCAAAAAACCAAGAATTACTGAGTTTTTTTGGATTTCCAGCAAAAAACCAAGAATTACTAGGGTTTTTGGATTTCCAGCAAAAAACCAAGAAAACCTCGAGAAAACCAAGAATCCAAGAATCCAAGATTTTCAGGTAGATGTTTGGTCCACTACAAAATCTTGGATTCTTGGTTTTCTCGAGGTTTTCTTGGTTTTCCTGATTTTACTTGGGAATTCCTGGATTTCCAGCAAAAAACCAAGAATTTCTAGGGTTTTTTTGGATTTCCAGCAAAAAACCAAGATTTACTAGGGTTTGTTTGGATTTCCAGCAAAAAACCAAGAATTACTAGGGTTTTTTTGGATTTCCAGCAAAACACCAAGATTTACTAGGGTTTGTTTGGATTTCCAGCAAAAAACCAAGAATTCCCAAGTAAAACAAGGAAAACCAAAAAACCTCGAGAAACCCAAGAATCCAAGATTTTGTCGTGGGCCAGACATCTACATGAAAATCTTGGATTCTTGGATTCTTGGTTTTCTCGAGGTTTTCTTGGTTTTCTTGATTTTACTTGGGAATTCTTGGATTTCCAGCAAAAAACCAAGAATTACTAGGGGTTTTTTGGATTTCCAGCAAAAAACCAAGATTTACTAGGTTTTTTCTATTTCCAGCAAAAAACCAAGAATTCCCAAGTAAAACAAGGAAAACCAAGAAAACCTCGAGAAAACCAAGAATCCAAGATTTTGTCGTGGGCCAGACATCTAACACAACAGAAATACCAGCACCAACTGAAGACGAAGAAGAAGAACCACAAAAAGATAATTTTGAAAAATTAACATCTTAATAATAGCATATATAATGGGTATTGGTAAAAGTAGAAATAATGAAAATAATAGTTTGGAAGACATTAAGAATTTAAGTATAGATGAAAAAACACGAGCAGACACTTTAATTATTAAATCTCTTCAAGAATGTGTGACACGAATTGAGAAACTAGAGAAAGAAAAATCTGACAAATTAATATATAAACTTCCTGCCTTACAATTTGCAATGCTTCGTTAATTTAAATTAATAATATTAACATATAATAATATTATTGATTGCTATCATAATCTGTCATTTTATCCTCTGGTATTGTTGTTGAAGTAGTACTTTTCTCATCTATTAAATCTTCTTCATCAACAAAATTATTTTGACATCTTAATAATTCCTCGTCTGTTGCCCTTCTTTTCAATACTTTATAAAGTTTATGTATCCAAGAATTAGTATGAAAATTACAATTCCCTCTACGATAAAATCCACCACATCTACATAGTTTCATTGGCATATTACTATATTATATTAAATAAGCATATCTATATTCATGATTCGTAATTTGAAATGCCTGTTCAAATCTGATATGAAACATTTTGTTAATGTCTTTAGCATTCATATTCACGTAGAAGAAACTATAAGGTGCGTCATTAACGGCTTGATGATACATATCTAATAATTGCTGTTTATCAACAATGGCGCTATTTTCTTCAATAAAACTCATTAACTCACTTGCATTTTTCAACCTAATGAACTGGCATTTAAACGAATGATAGGCACTAAAACATTATATTTTGTGTTGAACAAATTACACTTACTGCATCGTGCCTGCCTCTTGTAAAAAGTCCGTGTAATAATTTACTATATGTAACAAATTTAGGATCGTCTGCGTGGTCATCTACAACGATGAATATTGAATGCGTGGTCATCTGTAACGATTAATATTGAATGTAGTTTCTTTATCTTTTTAGACTTCATATAATTGATTATTTTCTTCTGTCTTTCAATTACATTTTCTAAATCACTTGGATTATAATTATCAAAATAAATTTGTTCTTTTCATCATCCACGTGCAATTCATCCCTGATGTATTTTTTAACTTCTGTAAAAGTTGGGTCATTATGAACGCTGGGGGAAAATATAAATATTCTTGCAAATGAATTTCTATAAACATTCAAGATAAGGTTTTGGACTAAAACTGTTTTGCCTCCCGTCGATGAAGCAACTATAATACTTCTAAATGGTAATTTTAGCACGTGCTCATATTTGGATTGTTTGAATTCATATTCAGTTATGTTTATTGGTTTATTATTGGGACATCTGTCATAGTTGATATTAAAGAAATATAGAAAATTATATTTAAAAAAAAACTTGTCATTAATATTAAATGGAACATCATTATGTTATGAGTGGCGGTGAATAACATAATGGAACAGGTTTTCCATTGCTTCAATCAATAAGCATTGAAGATAATTAGTTTTGTGTTTTGCTCGCGTGTGCAATGAAAACCAAGTGCTGTGCCCCACCAATAGCGATGAAGGGAGGGGCAAATGATAGATGAGATCCTGCTTTTTTTAGCTAAAAAGGTAGGTCATGCAGGGGGGGGTGAGCATATATATATATATATGTATATGTATAGATACATGTGTATATATATATATATATACATATATATATATACATGTTGTATTGTAGTATAGCTACATACGCGACGGCTGTCGAATACTCTCTGCTCCAGAAACTGCCTTGCAGCGGATCTTCCGCGAACTTCCGCGACGCAGGTAAAGCCACCCCTTCTGGGAATGCATCTTGCGCGCGTAAGTTACCAGAAGGAAGCAGCACAGCAAGCCAAGAGGATGGGTTGGAGCAGGAAGCAAGAGATAGAATAGGAATGGGAAAGGACGGGAGAGAAATTTCCAGAGCGAGCAAAAGTAGGGGGATAGCAGGAGGAGCAGCAAGAAGCGGGAAGCAGGAAAGCAGCAACAAACGCGAGCAACGCTTCATAACCAAACGCACCATCTTCCGCGCAAGGCGAGAGCTCAGGGGATTGTTTTGGTATCGTTTCGGGTATCGTTTTGAGTGCTGGCACTCCACTACACCGTCAAACTCTGCCAAGCCTGCTCGCCAATGACACTTCCACTTGGGTGGAAATGTCCACTCACCACGATAGGGCTGTTGAGATCCCACCCAAAGATCTCCACTTGAGGTTCGCTCGCACTGTTCCAAGTTCATCGCATTCCCACAGGGCACTCCGCTCATCAAAAACTGATACTGGCCTCACCCCTGCTTCCCGTTCGCGTCAGCCTGACAATGTGTCTTGTTCGAAGCGCGCGCAGTATCACTCGTTCTGGAGGCCACAGAAAAGGCTGACGAGGCATGCGCGTTTCCGCGAGCGGCGTTCTCCTGGCCACCTTGCTCAGGTTGGGCGCCCCTGCGTTCTCGCGATGGTTCCACAGCGAGCGTGCCTTGTTCTCAGCTTCAACTGCTCGATGTGGTCTTTCTGACGCTTGCTTTTCCGGAGCCTCCAGCGCCTTCTGTTGGGAGTAGGCCCTCAATCTCCCTCATCATGGACCTCCGCGCGCACTCAGCCTCAGCACAGAGATGTACTCCTGAAAGTCTCCCTTGCCTCCCGCGGGCTCGAGTAGAGCGCGCTCCCCAAGGCCCGCGACAGGTTACCTAGTGCGGCTTAACGGGCCGCCGTGATGTTCTCCAGCCCCTTCTCACACGCGAGCTCCTGATGCCGCCACCCACCATGGGCCTCGCGCTGCCGCTCAGGCTCCTCATGAGGCGAACCCCCTTCTTCTTGTCGTCGCTCGGTCTAAAGCTCCAGAGCTTGAACATCTTGCTCAAAGCGAGAAACTTCACGTGAGAGCGATGCCGAACCCCATGTAGGTCGTGCCGTAGAACGCGTCGCGTCCTTGGCATTCTCGCATATGGCGACTCCCTAGGTGTGAACCTAGGCTCTGCTATCACTGCGGAACTGCGTCCTGCATCGGTCGCGGGGCTCCTTGCCCATGATCAAAGCCAAAATTGCTGTTGGTGATAGTACACATGCTTAGCCCAGGGTTGCCTCCAAAAGATCTCACAATTACTACCTTGCCTGCTGCTCCTTGCATCCAGGAAGGCTGCGCCCTCACGGAAGCCATCGGGGTGAAGCAGCAAAGCATAGCCTCATTGTGGCAAATGCATGAACTTGGTGCTTGCTGGCACAGCTGTAAGACAGAATCCAAGTTCAAGCGACTGAAGGGGCATTGCAAAGAATGTGTCTCTTGGTGTATGCACAAAAGCCATGCGTGAAACCTTTGTCAGCTGGTGTCTTGCTGCCGCAAGTTGTACCAGCACTGTGATGCTCACGCTATGTGGCTGAGATCTGTGGCAGGGGCCTTACAATGAGCCGAGCGCTGCAGCCAAGTCTCTCCCAGAAACGCGCCAAACACCTCCCAAGGAGGATAAAAAGTAATAAAAAGACCCTTGTTTCCCAGTGCATACGGCAATTCCAGCCTTGGAAGTTGGCATCCCTCACCCATGCTGCATACTCTGACGTCTTCTCGCAGTACCAAACAGCACGGCTGCCTGCATTGCATGGGTGCTTTCCGTGATTTCATCACTTGCCTGACACGAGCAATCCCTCGATGCACGGGTTCTGGATCTGACCCCGACCTATCCAAAATACTGGTGCAGCGAAGCTGCCGCATTCATCCAACCTTCGTGCAGGAAACTGCAGTGGGCATCCAGCATTTGGTGAGCCCTCACTGGCTGAGCTGGCAACCATCCAAGCCATCTGGCTTTGACGGGCACTTTGTCTTGAGGGTTCTCCTCTGCATCATCCTCGATTGAAACGATCAGTTCTGACATGTCCTGCTGAGACTGTCCCAAGCCAAGGGGCATCATCCTTGATCCGCTTTTTCACCTCACGCATGAACCTCAGCTGCATGCAGAGTGGCAAAGATGTTGACCGTCCACCCGCCCGCCCGCCCGCCCGCCCGCCCGCCCGCCCGCCCGCCCGCACGCTCGCACGCACGCACGCACGCACGCCCGCCCGCCCGCCCGCCCCCGCCCGCCCGCCCGCCGCCCGCCCGCCCGCCCGCCCGCGCGCGCGCGCGCGCGCACGCACGCACGCACGCACGCACGCACGCACGAACCCACACACACACACACACACTCAAACACATGCATCGCATGACAAACGGCCGCTTCTTCCACCACTCGAAACAGAAAAACCTTGCTAGCAAGTGGTTGAAGTCAAGCATCTGTGGGCAAACTGGGTGGCGCAAATCGTCACTGCCTGGAACAAAGTCAGCTGAGGATATGTCGCGCTAGCCATCCAGTTTTGACGGGCTCATGAGCCTGGTGCTTGTCCAATCTACGAGTCTTCAGACATGCCCAGTATATAGCCTACAGCAATCACTGCTGGCGGTCATTCGGCATCTGCAAACGACGAACATGCGTCTGAGTCTCAGAGCTCAGACGCAATCATGGTCAACGCTACAACCCCTAGCCTTCGGCCGCAAGAAAGGGCACGGGCATCTGCACGGGCTTGAGCTCTTGGAAGTCCTCAACTCGTGCAGACGAGGCTTCCCTTCCAAAGCATTCCCCAAGCCGCTCTCAGCATTTCTGGGAGAAAGCCATCAAAGTGGTGGCTCTTTTGTTCATGAAAATGCGGCATTCAATCCCTGGGCGCCTCAGAATCGTGGATGCTTGCTGCCCTGATAGGATCCAGTAGCTGCGCCGTTACGGCGGCGACCCGCAAAGCCTCGACAGGGAACTTAGGCCATCCAACAACGTCAAGCCTGGATGATGGGACAGGAACCTGATTTGCCCCCTACATAGTGATGCAACTGACCTGCAGGACTTCAGATTGAATAGGAACACTAAAGATGAGACTAAGCAATGATCAACCACCTCGCAAAGCCCCCTACATCACATTCCATACGCCATGCCGGTCCACACAGAATGGCGTAAGAGGTCGAAGACACACACTAGCATTGGCCAATTCATGTGAATGCATGTGACATGTGGCCTGCTTACCCTCCACCAGCCAGCGTGCACCAGTCTTACTGTCAATCCATACGCCTCAGCTGAATCAAGGCCAAGGACAACCAAGAAAAGCATCACAGTGCCAAGGCACCTTGCAAGGAGCGCAGCTCTTTTCGTAAATAGCAGCCAGTGGGACCTGGCTGACATGAAGAGACACCATGGCAGAAGACACAGTGCAGCAGTCTGCAGCAGTCCGTCAACTATCGGAGTTCTCGAGGCCAAACCGCCTTGGCAGCTTCAGCCAAGGCTGGGATTCGATATCACGGTTTCTGCCTGGATAGACATTCAATGAAGTTTCGCATTGCTCCTTGCAAAGATCCTTGTGGGATCCTTGCAAAGAATTTGTGAATCCTTGCTGCTTTCTTCTCTTCTTTGTTCCTGGTATTATAAATTTCTTTATTTTCGCTGCTTTTCTTTTTTCCTCTGTCTTTCTTCTGTTCTTCTTCTTTCCTTTTCTTTATTTTTCAACTTGGGTTGGTTGGCAATGTGGTGCTTTTCCTTGTCCTTGCAAAGATGGACTGATTTCCAGAGAAGTAAAAGCAAGAATTGCAGAACTTGAAAGTTCCTAAAATTGTGTTAAAAGCTTCTTCTTTTCTTTTGATGTTGGCAGCATTTGATGGCACTTTCAGAGGAGGCCTTTTGCTTGGTCTGCCAAGGTGGACTTGTTTCAAATGTCTACTAAGGCCGACTCTTTCAGTCAGAATTGTGGGATCAAGGGGTTTATCCCCACTTCTGTGATACACGGAAATCCCCTCTTTATATGGGGGGGTTGGTCTTTGGGAGGCCCTTTTTGTTGTATCACAGAAGTGGTCATTTCCCACAGCCCTGCTTTCAGTGGTCATGAGCTGGGGGCGCGTTCATACATCGCTCATTGTTACGAGACTCGAGCTCAAAACTGCAACCTGTCAGCCCCTGTTCGGCCGCTAGCCCAACCGGGAGCTGTGGCTTTGAACATGAAGTGAACACAAACGCTCACTCTAAATAAGCGTATGGCCATCCCCCATCGCTGACATTGGCTCCTCCAATGTCAAGACGAGTCCACCATTACCCATGTGGGGATCCATTTTAGACAAAAATCAGCATTCAGACCACTTGAAGCACTTGCACATGTCCATCCATGCCATCTTGAGGCTGAAGGCATGTTTCCGCAGGCATCTTTGCAGAGCCCCGCTTTGGTCTATGGCGTAGACTTAAGGTACTACTGTACTGTGTCGCCCGCACCCAACCCGCGGCCTATGGTTAGGCAGTCGTCCAGCCGCGCCGAGCGCTTCCCCTGCATCGCCGCTTCAATCTCTGCACGGCGGGCGTGGTAAGCCTCAAACAGCCATGAGCGTCGAATCCAGGCGGTTCCTTGTGCTTCACTTCATGCTCATGGCAGACGTCACTGGCATGTTCAAGGTGGAACCCTCACCCACAAGCTGCCTCAAGCCCGAATTGACAACCAAATAGAATAGCGTAGTAGCGTAGCTGAATTAGATGGGCTAGATAGTAACGACATGCTCATGGGTGACCAAAATTGTTAAAAACCCGTCAACATCCCGAGAGGACCAAAAGAACCTATCCTTCCGTGTATGGCGCGCAGCTGACGCTGCCATGAACTCAGGCAGGCGAAGGAAAGCAATGGATTGACTGCCCAGAGAAACCAAGTGCGCTTCAATTTGTCTAGCAAGAAACATCAGGTGGCTCCCCTTTAAAAACTTTAGCGTCTTCCCCTATGCTCCAAAGTTCGGACTGAAGCACGCTCCGAAAACTCCGACCGAAGAACACCTGCTGGTTGCTCTCCAAGAGACACGGTAGGCATCCAAATTTACGGACCTCTTTGCTTTGACCACCTCCAGGGGATCAAAGTAACCAGGCCGCATCAAACCGAAGTTGATCAAACTATCCGTTCAAAGCAGGCTCTCCCCAATAGTTTTGACCTCGTTCAAACCTGCTTTGGACAGCTGTAGAAGATGACCGGAGCAAAGCATCTGAATTGTGGTATGGAGGCCCGGTTATTGCGATACCCCGCGCTGCAATAAGACGCACTTAGCAGCCAGCGTTTGACTTTGGAGGGCGTGTTGCGAATCCCAGCCTTCAGTCGTGTCCTCGGGAAAGGCCGATTGCTCAGATCTGCACCACAGTACACTTCTTACGGGTGGATCTGTCTGCAGCAACTGAGGTGCTGGCGGCAACTTGCCTTGCCTGTCGCGGGTGATGACCTGGACTCGATTCTAAGCATCAAATAGTTTCTGCAGTTGCTTCAAAAGGCTCAAGTCATACACAGAGGTCAAGCCAATGCTTGCCAATGCCTTCGTTGAATCGATTTCAACGTGCCATCTGTCCCACCCAACAGTTTGTAATGGACACGCCTGGCGGGTGGTGAGGTCGAATAATGCCTGCAGACTCCTGAGGAACTTCGGCGACTCCACCTCTCGCTTCCTGCAGATCGAATGGAGCACAGTCAGGTGAATTGAGCGCCGATGTTAGTCCCCTGTTCAATAAACAGGGCAATCAAGGCAGTGCTGCGACTTTACCGTTTGGAAAGGACCTGTGAGAATCGCTTTGGAATTCCCTCTCTGCAGCTAAGCAACGCTCGGGAATCCAGGCTGCCCACCTGCAATCATGAAAGCTTCCAGCCCAGTCAGGTCATTCTGGCAGCGTACCAATTTGCTAAAGCAATAGTTGCAATGACGTTATTCGGAGAACGCCCCTCAAGAATGATTGGCTTCATGATCTTTGCACCGTGCCGAAAGTGATTATCATTTCGACTAATCTGAAACTGAATCGAGGTGGGCTTCAGGATGTGCTCGATTGGCATCCCAAGGGGTTCACTCGTCACGCACATAAGCACAGCGCTCAATGCGCTCTAACAGAGCTCCCTCCAAGAGCCTGCCCTGCGTCTGAAGCAGAAGCAAAGGCAACGTACTGTTGCTCCGTAGATGTGGAACACAAAAGGCACCGCCGGTTGGAAGCGCTGTCAAATCAGATCAATGTCAGTATATCGGTTTTCCTCAGCGGCATGTTCTGTGTCAGCCCAGTGAGGTAATTAGTTGAGTCGTGGTGAGCAGGACATCTGAAGAGCTGATGATAATTTCGCTGGCCAAAGAAACTTAACAACCGTTCCCAAGATTGCACGGCCCGCAACACATGAGTGCCGCCTTGGTCCGCATCACCGCCAGCTGTTGCTGCATCCATGCCTGAGCAAGGCTCGGCCATCAGCCCGTGCCTGGGTAGCCAACCCTTGAATCCTCAGACTCGATGATCCAATACATAGCCAGAAAACAATGAACACACCATTATGAAACTGGTATGATGATGACACTGTTATTTCTGTTGGGATTGCTGACAAAAGTGCACGCATGTGGTACCAAAGCGAATATGAATCCACTCAAAGCTGTGCACTTCTTTCAACAGCATCTGAAACAACAAGTGTAGGCTTGCCGGTGGGCACAAGATATGCGTATCTCTGCATGTGCACATATAGAGAGAGAGAGAGAGAAAGAGAGCGAGAGGGAGAGAGAGAGAGGGAGAGAGAGAGATATATACATATATACATACTGAGAAAAACGAAAGGGCCCAAAAGAGTCTACAATCACACAACAAGCAAACTGGGCCGGCCTCGCCGAAATGGTCCTGGCCATCACCTAGCAGCTCTCGGGCAGCGTCCGAGAGAAGAAGCTGCCGTGAGTCGTCGAAGAGTTTCTGGCGGTACCTCAACATCGAGTGGTGTGCAGTCCAGACATCACCTCTTTCTAGAAGTGCACCCCATCAACTTTCACCCTCTGAGGCAGGCGTGCTGCTTGCGCCGTGTTGCAGCTATTTGAGATTCGCGCATAGCGTTGTTGGGTTGCGCCGCGTGGCAAAAAGCAAAAACCTATGCTGGAGGTACAAGCGACTGACATCATATTTAGGCATACTGAAACGTCACCACTCAACCAGGCACAGCTGCGGGGAACAGTCGTCCAGCAAAGGGCAGCTGCTTCCTTGCTCCACTTGCTGGACGCCTCAAAACGCCAAAGACCTGTCCGGCCATGGGCGCATCCCCAAGAGTCAGGCGCTCTCACTTGGCGTCTCCAATCGCTGCTGGTCATGTCGACTTCACCATCTGAACCGTGGGGGCAGCAGTGCCCTTGAACGTGGGCCCAGGCCCCAGGATTCCTGGAGTGGAGAAGCATCTCATCATAGAAGACCTGAAGACGCCACACCCCGGGCACTTGTGTGTCTTCCTGTCGCGGCTCCGCAAAACACTCAGCACTGCATACTGCATTTACAGTAACTGCCTCCAACCTCGTGATCAACATCATCCTCTTGATGCAAAGGATGGCTCTGAAAGCCTCCTTGGCAGACTCCTTGGCGGCCCTGAGCTGGGCGGCCTCGTCAAACTCAATCACCGACGTGTCCCAATCTGGTCGGAGAGTCCATGGTTTGACCGTCGCTCTCAATTGTGACCCATTCGCAAGTGTCCTCCGTCTCCCTCAACGGCGCCACGGACTCTTGCCGTTGTCCTTGAGCTTGTCCTTGGACACGACAACTTCATCACGTTTGGATTCGTCAACCGGGGAACGCTGTCGATTTCCCTGGCTGAGCTCGTGTGTCGTCTCACTCTTCTTGCCCTGGCCTCGGCTTCTGCTACTTCTCTGCGCAGCCGCATCCTGATGCCCTTGTCCTGACTCGTGGCCGCCGTGTGCTTTATCGCCTACTCGTCCGCAGCCGTGCCCCCCAGGCAGGTCTTGATCATGTTCCCCTGCAAGAGTTCCGCTAAGATGTCCTGAATCATCTTCTCCAGCAATGCCCCAATCTGCAGCAGGAATCGTGCGGACAGCCTTATCCCGCCTTTGTGTTTTTGCTGCCCTGGCAGGGCTAGGGTTGTAGCTGCAAGCTAGTCGGCGCACTTGCATGTTCTATGGATCCAGTTGTGTTGCAATTGCTACTCGGTCCTTTCAGATCTCAACCCTGAAGATGAGGGGGGGGGGAAGGCAACGGGGACATCCAGCGAAGTTCCTGCTGGAGATGCATGCCAAGGCACATCTCTCGAGCCATTTGGAACAGCTGTGAGGAGCTCTTGGCTGCGAAGAGCGCGTTGGGTCCGATCTGTCGGCCTTGCGCACTGGACACTGGATGCCTCGTGTCTCAAGCCTTTTGTTCGCTGGGCTCTTGCCTGGCACGGCAATTGGCACATAATATGAATGGGAACATCCTCAAAAAGGTTGGTGGAAAAGAATCCCATGCAAATGACGTCTACCCAAGGGCCCTAAATTGAAATTCATACCCACCTAGTAGAGAACCGTTGCTGCCTTATGGGCGAGCGGAAGGAAAAAAATGCCGAATCCGTTCTCGCAAAAGAGTCAGACCTGTCGAGTCAATGCCCGTGTGAGGCCGCCGCCTTCATCCGCTGTCAGAGAAAGCCAAGGGTCACCTGCAAGCCCGTGATTGCCGAGGCCATGCTTGCAGCATGTAAAATTGGTAGAAATTGTCAAACAGCTTGAGGCATGTTCACTGCAACAAGGAAACAATGTAGAAGCCTACTGTACTGTGCGCAAATTTAAATTAGCAAATCTTGGAAGAACGTAAAATCAAAAGGTGCAATTTGTGGAAGCGTTCTCCCTAGCAGACCGCATGCACATCGGGTTCCTTTCCGGTGTTGGCTCAGACCTTCGCCCATCAATGTCGTAACTTGTGTTACAGGACAAACTCTGAATCCCGTCCACTCTGCCCGATTCTTTTGCAGAGCATGTCTCAGTCAAATCCTTTTCTTATCCTTCCAAGCTTCACGCTTGGGCCAATCCATGTGTTTTGTCTATGCATGTGTTTTGTCTATGGCTTGCACTCAGTAACCTTAAGCGTTCAACCGCGTAGCTTTGCTTCTGTGAAACTGCAAATGCATGTCGTCCTTGCTAGAAGGGCTAAATGGTCTCACAAAGTCTTGTGTTTGGAACAACCGTCATAGTTTTGTTTTCGTGCTGTCATCGGTTCTGCCGTCGCAAAGCTCGGCTGCGTATTGGCATGTTTGCAAATGTTCTCCGTGACCCAACGGGGGGTCTCGATCTACAATAGAAACCACTTGACATCACTTTGCAAACTCTCCTCCTCCTGGTGGCTTGAAACTGGGCTTGGCACTAACAGAAGGGAGAGGTGATCGAACATAAATGTCTCATGAAGATGGCCTTCGGGTGTGTGACAAGAAACAGTGTGAACAAATTGCCACTTGAACTATGCAGTTCCTGAGCACCGTTCTGCTCCACCCCGTCTCCCCCGCCTCCCACCAGCGACATCTCCTCAAAACCTGCAAGCTCTCCTTCGCCTGAGTGCATTGGAGGACGCACAAACACCCCTCGTCATCGGCTCAAACCTGTGCCGCGTTGCAAGTACCATGCGACCAGATACAAATTCTTAGCTGGCCAATGCCTAGTGAAAGCCTCTGGCCTGCGACTGCTTCTCTCATGAGACGACAGACAGACAATTGCTCCGGCAGTTCAGCATCCAAAGCAGTGGTGAACTTTCAAGCGTCAAGATGCAGATTTAATGAAAAGCCTCGGTCAGTTTCGGCAAACAGCTTCACCTGAACCACGTTAAATAAATCAATATAAATGGAAAAAACACTTCAGGCTGGTTGGGATTTAAGCCATCCAGCGAGGCACGATGCGCCAAGTCTCCGCTCCCTCTCGGCAAGTACAGCAAGCCCAAACCATCTGCCAGTCTACAAATGTAGGAAAATGGCTTGTTGCATTCGCTGCCTTCAGTAGCATGTAGTGAGTGTTCCCTAGCAAAGAGTTGATTTGGGCAAAGGTTGAACTCTCTTTTGACAGTCACTCGTAGATTCTGGCCGGTCGAACGCTGGCACGAAGCTAAGCTGCCATGTTTCAAAGAAAAGGCAAGCCGAATTTAGAGCTAACCAGTGCATTCATGGAGAATGGGCAGCAAGAACCATTGGAGAACAACAACAGTGGGAGTTCCACGAGTCCATAAGTCGGAGTGCTGGTCAGCATGAGCTGCCGTCGCAGTCTTGCTTTGAATGAAAGGTGGCCAAGGCAACTGAGTCCTATATCAAAGGGAGTTTGACATGACCGAAGGCGGTCTCCCCGGTCTCCCCGGTCTCCCCGGTCTCCCCGTCTAGGGCTCCAGACTGTCTCGCTCACGAGAGTCCTGCGGAGCAAACGACCCAGTAGCATGTACCTTCTGCAAGTCGTGTCACTGCTCTGCACGCGCCAAGCGCTTCAGTCTCCTTGCCCCCGTCTGCCCCGCTTGCTCCTCTCTCTCGATCTCGGGCTCGACCATCGGACTAGACGTTGGCTCAGCAGGCTCTGCAGGGGCAAGCTCTGTGGGCTCCTGAAGAATAGCGGAAGCCTTCCAGCCCCACTCCAGGTCTCTTGGTCTATACACACACATAGCGGATCAGGCTGCCAACCTTCAAACAACAAGCTGCGCTCCGTTTGTCAGTGGATGGGGGCAGTTGGACTAAGATAGGATGACAAATATTGATCATGCATGCATGTATTTGCATTTGGACCGCATAAGTAGACAGTTGTCAAACTCTGAGCCATTCCAATGTATGACAAAAATGGGTGAAGTCATTCGTGACCACGAACAAAATCGCCCACACCTCTCCTCTGCTCTATCTGGAGAGGCCGGTACCAGTTCCTTGCAAGGCTCTGTCCCAGAAATTGCGCGTTCCGAATGCGCGTGTGCTGCACGCCAGTTTGGGCACATTCAGCGGAGCGGCAGACTCCGGCAGCTCGCCCATGAGCCTGCTGGACTCCACCTTGGGAAGGGCTTCCGAGCGAGACGACCTCGAGCGATCCCGCGAGACCTCGAGCGAACCGTTGACATGCGAGTTACCAAGTCTAGCCAACCGGAGCTCAAGCGGAGTGCATCCCATGACTCCCCACACCTGTGCAACTTCAAGTCTCGCCAAGTTCTTGTGTGCACATCGGTCTACGAGATGCTGCTTAACCGGCACCTAAGCCCACAACCAGCGCCAAAGCCAAGGCCTGTCATGAGCAACAAGGGAAAAGTGGGGAGCACAAGTGCCGCTTCCAATGCCGATCGAGTAAGGATCCACACATTGCCCTAAGGAACTTGGGACCGCCGGAGGCCTTGGCTCACAAGTTGACGTCCTAGGTGCATGTCGACTCCCACCCTCACACCTTCCTATCCCCGACTGCCATGGCCATCTGCAGCAAGTAGCGGCTGTGCGCCGCCCTTGGCAGTGAGCAAGCACAAAGGCTCTTGCTAGGAACAGCTCCTGGTTCTTGCTTCCCCGAGAGTCACTATCGACATGGTCAGGCAAGGGTGGGCTCTTTGCAAAAGCGTAAACCAACGCGCCCATCAATTTCACTCCTTACAGGCTCTCTCTCCTCATGAAGAGACGCTACTTTGTACTCAGAACATAAACGCAGGCCTGTTCCGTGGCAAGTGCAAATCAGTGACCCCCAGGCGGATTCACCACACTTGCACAAAGACATTGCCAGCAAGGCACATCATCTTGCTGATCCGCGGATCCAACAACCTGAGGTGCCAGGAATTACGAGCAATGCAACAAGCCGCACCACGCCAGCCCCAAAAGGCAGGAAACAAACAGCGACATGCTCTCAACAAAGCACAGTGGAATGAAGCAGCGTTTCACTTAATCAACAAAATGTGATGCTGACATGATGGTGGCAGCACGTGTGTCGAGGCTTCTCTCCAGCCAGGTGTCTGTATCTCGGGGGCAGATCCTCCACTTCCCTCTGCCTCATGGCGTAGGCCGTCCGCCACAACAGTCATCTTCCAACAATGACCACATCCCCATAAACTTACTAGTCAGAGTTCAGGGATGCAGTCGCTTGGATTAAGCACTGTGCCCGCAGGGCACAAGGCATAGTGTGTTGGTAGGAAAGCACACCCTGAGCAAGTGGGTTTACTCATGCAAGCTCATGATTCTCTGGCATTGCAGTAAACCTCTACAGTACATCGTAAAGCCATCGAAGCATCCAGCCTTCCACTGCTGTCCAATTTGTGTGATGACTACTAGATAAGCCCTTTCCTGAAAGCAAACCACTACCTTCACGCTTGACTGCTCTCAGCAGGCTTGCTCTGCAATCCTGTTGTCTGCCCTGATTGTTCTACTTTCAATCTGCTTCTTCCAGCCGGTTGCAGGAAACTCTTGGCACATATATACTCGCAAACACAAACAAACACCCACTAACCCAAACACACACACACAGACAGACACAGACACAGACACACAGACACACAGACACACAGACACACAGACACACAGACACACAGACACACAGACACACAGACACACAGACACACAGACACACAGACACACAGACACACAGACACACAGACACACACACACACACAGACACACACACACACACACACACACACACACACACACACACACACACACACACACACACACACACACACACACACACACACACACACACACACACAACACACACACACACACACACACACACACACACACACACACACACACACACACACACACACACACACACACACACACACACACACACACACACACACACACACACACACACACACACACACACACACACACACACACACACACACACACACAGACACACAACACACACACACACACACACACACACACACACACACACACACACACACACACACACACACACACACACACACACACACACACACACACACACACACACACACACACACACACACACACACACACACACACACACACACAACACACACACACACACACACACACACACACACACACACACACACACACACACACACACACACACACACACACACACACACACACACACACTCCGCACGCACACACTCTCGCCCGCCCATTGAACTGATCCACGAAAGGAGATGCAATATTATGTTCGCTCACTGTCTCCCCATCTCTCTCTCTCTCTCTCTCTGTCTCTCTCCCTCCTTCTCTCTTGCTCTTTTCGTTCTATAAATTGCAGATGACTCAGGGTCATCGGGCCTGATATCTACATGTGTGGCCGCCGCTTCGTTGGACCATCCCGCACAGCAAATGGATGGTCGCCGGGTAATAAAGGTTACTAGTCGCCGGGCAAGAAGCAAAAAACACTGGCCGCTCCCGATTCATTATGACATCAGTTCTTCCAAAGCAAGAAAGCAAGAAAGAAAGAAAGAAGGAAAGAAAGACGGAAAGAGAAGAAAGGCAAAAAGAAAGAAAGAAACTACGAAACAAACAAATTATTGCATGCCTATCAGCTTGCACATCAGCTTGCGCGCTTTCATGTGGTTCATATGCGGGATGCAGGACTTTCAAGAATGCTCTCTTGTGCAATCCCCGAGTCAGTCACAATCTTTGCAGCCCAGCTGCTGCAGCGCGAAGGTCGTCCAGACTTTGCAGATCAAGACAGGCCAGGGCCTGCTCTCAATGTGCTCCAGTAAAAGATCCGCAGGCACGTCTGGTCCATTTTCAAACTACTGTCCAAACTGAGCTTGTTTTATTTCAACTCTATACATCGGCCGGCAATCTAGACGAAAGGTTGAGTGAGGGTTCATGCGCTATGCAATGTTCGCTGTGTAAGTCAATGGTAAATGCAGGGGAGGAGAGAAAACCCCAACTCATTGAGTGTGCAAGAAACACCCAATACTACATGGTCATGAGGCTTTGGCCCAGCCAGAGACACGCTCAGCCGGCGCAGTGCATGTCACCTAGATTCGCATATGTTCCTTCGCTTCAGCCAGTCAACAGTTTGTACATGCACGCCCATGTACAAAGCACTGCATTTCTGAGACCCAAAGCACTGGATCAAGATCTTCAAGCCCGACCTTGTGGAGCTGTCGGTTGAAGTGGGTCCGGATCTGCATGCACGTGGCTCAACACGAATTCACATTGTGACATGATTGCAATCGGGGAGGTGGCAAACATCTAGAGCCCTGTTGAGACCATGTCCCCTGTTTCTGTTTCGACAACCTGTTCTTAAATCGATCATTCTTTGGGTAACTATGTTTGATTGATCCCTGAGATCTTTGTCATGAATTGCCGTGCACTTCTGCTGCCTGCTACCTCAAAAACGCTAAGACCATACCCTCATCCTCCGAAATAGGGATGATCGCACTGAAGGGCGAACTAGGCAGCAAGTCCAAACCTTGTGAAAGGCAGCAAGCGATACACCAATCAAAGGTCTTGCAGCCTAGGATTTGACTTTCAGCCCAAGAAAGGCACGTATACTCGAGTACGAGTAACAAACGCATCCCTGCCTTGACTAGGATCTGCTGAGTTGCGATGGGATCCCTGTTGAGGCTGCCATACTCCCAAGCGTCGACAAAAGCACGCGTGGCTTCCTCCACATACCTGGCAAACGCAAACACCAAAGAAGTCTTCTTGAGCTGACGACTGCCACATGAGAAAACAGAAGATATGAAGCTCCAAAATCAAACGTGCGTACAGATATGATTCCCCGAATGAATGGTCGCGTACTGGAAAGGGCTTGGCATGCCCAAAGTGATGCGGCTACTAGCAAACAACTGGCGTGATGCGACGACCGTCAAGTCTCCAAGCCGTCGCATGCCTCGTCAACTGCTCACGATCTGACAGTGCCATATAGGATCGCAGGATGAATATGTTGGCGTCATGCACCATGCCTTGGATCAGTCAGAAGCGGAGACCATGGACATAGGCAAAGTAGATGGGCAGCTTGCCAGGAATGACAATACGAAAGTCTCATCATCCAAGTTGCTTTGCCAGTCCTCCTTGGACCCGACTCCCTTGGCCCAGCGTTCCTTCACAGACCTGCAGTGTGCAAATTTGGCGAGTGTCAACCCAAAAGCGTTCCCATGGTGCGGTACTTGTCAGCCCGCAAGCAATTTCGGAGTGCGAAGTGGCATGATACAAGCTGGGTCAGCTGGCATGTGGGGAATGAGGGTGCACTATAGGTCCTCACAGTACCCCTACGCTTGCGGCAAAGGGCCCAGTTGGCCCTCTGCCACTCTCATTCGCTACTTACTTGGCCATCATCATCTTCACAAACTCCTCATAGTTGATCTGGCCATCGCCGTCCACATCTGCCTCTCGGATCATCTCGTCAACCTTTCCTTGATTTTGGATGGAGCAGTAGGGTGCGGCAGCAAGGCGCTGTCCCCTTTCTGCTCGGGTCAGCAGTCACTGTCCTCAGGACTCGCAGTGAGCGCGGTAGCCAGCAGAGATTCTGGCGGCCGCGCGAATGGCAGCGAGCTCCCAAGTCTTGGCCCCTTTGCGGTTAGTAGCCCAGCGCAGCCGAGCAGATCCCGCAAGCAGCCGCTGCATGCAGCCATTGGCAGCCCTGTCGGCTGCGTGATTCCAAGCTCGGAGTTGGGCCTCAGTGGCGCGAGGGTGAGGCGCCCAGCCCCTGACAATCTTGCCGTGCGAGGGGACCCACTTGAAGTCGACTCCAATGCCAACCGCTCGAAGTGAGCGGCGGAGCTCGAAGAATCTACGAGCACGCATCTCAATCACATCTCCCTCAAATCCACTAGCAACCCAAATGGCAGCGGTGCAGTCCGACACAATGGTGAGATGCCTGCACATGACAATGCCCTGTGAAGATGCCGCAAACACGGCAGCCAGGGCGGCACGAATCGCCTCAAGCTCTGCACGGAAGGCGCTCTGGTCCTCCCCTTCAACTCCAGCCGCAAAAGCTCTGTCAGAACAAGGTACAAAGATGCCCCACGAAGCGACATGATGCTTGGCAGATCCGTCCGTGGCCAGAAAGAGATGGTCACTTGTCTGCACAAGTTCCGCAATCTCCTGAAGCAGTTCTGCCTTCACTCCATGCACCGCAGTGTCCTCAGGGGGCCGTGGCAGCTCATTCACAGCCCTGGCAAAGAGCCGCTCCTCCGCGCGGTTCACAGGGCTGGGAACACCAATTCTGCTCTCTTGGAAGGCAGGGCAGCACCAGACCAAGTGCGGCCTTGAAGGGAAAAGGCTGCCGCAGAGACAGCGCGCCTTGTCATCCTCCCTGCTCAACTTCTTGCCCGCGCTGTTGTGCCAAACCGAAATGCCAGCTGCAAGGGAAGCATACCGAGCATCAAGGTCAGTGCTGCTATGCTCAAAAATCTGGACATGGCCCTGGAAAGTGCAGAAGCTTCCGCGTGGAGGCCCCGGCAAGTCCAAGCCTTGCGCAAGCTCAGCAGCATCAGCTCCACGACGGTGCTGGCTTTGCCTCGTCCTGCCACAAGAGGTCATCGCCCATCGCCTGTGACAATCAGTGAGCCACTCCAGGAGGATGGCTGGATCATCCAGCCCCACAGCAAAACGGCGACTGTCGCCCCACGAGTCTCGCCGACACACAAAGTTGCCGCCATCTTCAGCCCACCATCCACAGTCCCGCAGGACCTGCGCTGCTCCCGGAAACAGTGAGGGCCAGCGCTTGCAGACAAAGTCAAGCGCGCTATTTTCCATCCACGGTCGCCAGGTAGAATGGTATCTGCAGGCATTCCTCAAAGCTGCCCAGCGTGTCGCAAGAATTGGGTCAAGAGACCAGCCCATGACTTCTAACAGCAAGCATGGCGCAACATCGTGCGGCAAGCGGCCCCCAAAGGCCGCCAAAACATCCTGACGCAGAGTGTCAAGCTCTTCTTTCTGAAGCTGAGCAAACCCACATGCCCAAGTGAGCGCGGGGATGACCAAGGCCCTGATGTGGCCCCGTCTCTGCACGAAGTTGGCAGCAACTCGTCGAATGAACAAGAGTCGTAATCTCACCTTTCGCACGTCAAACTTTGCCAGCTGAGCCTGTGTTGGTTGAGACACGTCATGCACAACTCCCAAAACCGCAAACGTGGTCGACGCCTGGTACCCAAAGTCTTGGGCAACAAGCCAAGCCTCACCGTTGCCTTCTGCTGCAGCAACGCTACACTTGGACTGCCTGCACTGAAAGCCAAAAGCTCTATCAAACGCATCACTGCGGGCTTTGCCAGCACGCAGGGCCTGTTGCCTGGTAAGGCCACCCAAGCCAGGGGACCCCCGACCGGGGGAAACAGTCACCCGCAAGTGCTGCTCAGAGGACGAGGAGGCCGGCAATGGGTCGCCCTGGCTGGCGCCGTCGCCATTCGCCCAGAAGGTGCGATCGTCGAGGTAAACCAGGCCGTCCACCCCGTCTCTGCACACGTTGCAGGCCCAAATGTGCATGATGCTGGCTGCGATGAGCGGCGACATGGGACAACCTTGCAGAATCCCTCTCCCGACAGTGTGCCAGCCGGTTCCAAGCACGCCTCTGTCTGAGAAAACACGTTGGCACTGGTCGTAGAATACCTGAATCAACCTTGTCACTTCAGTCGGGGCCCGCAAATGGTTCATAACCGTACAAGCCTGGGGGATCTGCACCGAGTCAAAAAATTTGGCAAGATCCTGTGACACCAGAATCTGAGAGCAGTCAATGGCATGCGCGAGCCGCGCATGAGCATCAAGAACGCCTCTTTCCGGCAGCCCTCCAAGGATTCTGTGGTCAGCCCAGGCTGCAATCCAGGAGCGGAGTGAAAGCACGATGCGCCTGGCCCCCAACCTCCAGAGCACGCTGGTCAAGCTCAAGGGTCTTGCCCCTCCACCGGCCTTGGGAATGAGCACGACCTTCACTTGACACCAAGTCTGTGGGATGCATCCGCTAGCCAGAACAAGCTGCCAAAGTTGCCCTGCTGCGTTCCACCAGCACTCCGGGAGCTTTGCAAGATCTTCAGCTTCCCAATCGTCAGGGCCTGGCGCGCGGGCGCCCATTTCCTGTGCAGATGCGCGCAGAGCGCTTCCACTCCAGTCGATCTGCCAGGCCTGCTGCTGAGGGCGCTCGACGTGCTCCAGGAGCTGCTGGATCTTGCGAGGCCCCTCTCTCACATCTGCCGGCGCCGCCCACAGGTGAAGCCACTCTGCCTCCGCCTCAAGGACTCTCTGCACCGGGTGCACTGCCTTGTGGACAGCCTGCTCAGCAAACGACCTGGGGAGCCCTGAGTCAGACATAGCCAGTTGCTGGTCCGTTTTGCGCTTGATCCAGGCAGCTTGCTTCTGCGTGTTGCTGGCCATGTCAGCGCGCCACTCCAGCACGCGGCGCTCCTCGTCCGCCTGCTCAGCCTCCTCAAGCAACTTGTCCACAGCCTCGGCAAAAGCCTCGGCATTCCAAGCAAAGGCTCCCTCCAACTCAGCATGGGCAGCCTTCAGGGCTGCCAGCGCCTTGCCAACCGAATTCCGCAGAGAGCGAAGTTCAGCTTGTCTCTGCAGCTGCTTGAGTTGGCGCTGGAGGCGCCGCAGGCGCCGCAATCTGCATGACTCGAAGCTTTTAGAGGCCGCCTTGTGCGCCCCTTGCCTCCCGCCAAGCTTCTTGGGAGCCCACAAGCAACCCCTACCAACCGTTTCATCGCGGCCGCAGAAGTCTTTGGCCAAGGCGTTTTCCGCGGCTTTGGAAAGGATTTGCCATGCAAGGTCAACATCTTCCTCTGCCATGACTGCGTCAAGCGCAGAGACGGCCAGCTCTGCTTCACACTGTCTTTGGATGACCTTCAAGTCCGTCTCCTCCAAATTGCGTCGCCTCGGCCCTACACTGCCACCCAGGTCGGAGAAGGCCGCAATGGCGTACACCACCATGTCGTGGTCAGCAAGGCCAGGGCATTGAGTCATGCCGGTTGGCCAAACGCCTGGCCCAGAGATGCCGTAGTCAATCCGTCTCTTCCCAGCAGGACGCGTGGGCCGCAACATCTCGCTCGGGCCGAAGGCCTCGTCCAAGGAGTACGCCTTGCCGTTGGTCAGCAAGTGGCCCACCCCGTGCTCGTGCTGCTCCATGTTAAAGTCGCCGAGGATGATCCACTTAAAGCCAAGTGCCTTTACAGCGGCCGCCGCTTCTTCCACCAGGGAGCTTGCCGCCCTAGCGTTGTCCGCATGGCCGTAGAAGCTCGCCATCAAAACTTTCTGTACATTCCCAGCAGGGCTAACTCTAAATTCAACCAAGCCTGCCGCGCACCGACTGGGAAAACTCACTCCTTCCAGACAGATCTGCCGAAGAGGGAAACGAGAAATCAGTGCCGTTCTGCAAATTCCAGTGCCAGCCTCGCCGGCACCAAGCACCACAGTAAATCCCTTAGTGCGCCACCACTGTACATAGTTGGCGCAACTGCTGGAATTGAGGTCAACCTCCTGCAGCGCCAAAATGTCCACGTGCATGTCCTGCATGACTTCCAAGGCCCTGCTGGCCTTGGCCGCGCCACCCCTTCCAACGTTCATAGTGCCGATGGTGACTGGCTTCATGGCTGGCGGTCAAGAGGGGCACCACTCAAAGCGCGCCTGGCCTGTTCCCAGATGCCCTCCAACTGCTCCGGGTTGAAGCCACAGTCGCTCTTGCTCAAAGTCTCACTCCTCTTCTTGTGCTGGTCATGCGCAGCAAGGGATCGCTTCACATCTTTTTCGGTCCTCTTGGCACCGCAGCCTTTGCTTCTCTGGACGCACTTCTTGTCCCGAAAGCAGCAGAGGCACTTCCGACACCGCCATGCCCGCCGGATTGACAACCGTGACGGCTTGTCTTTGGACTTCCACTTGACAACAGGCCACATGAAGGCTTGCAGCTGATGGCCACCGCTCTGCAGGAAGTCCTTCTCTACCCTTGCAATGCTAACGTTAAGCATCATGGTTCGCTGACTCTGCCGATAGGCGCTCCCCTGCTGAGTGCCCAGGCTCTGAAGTCGCCTCCACGCCGCAATGGTGGTGGTTGGGTGGCAATCCTTTCTGTGCTTCTTCTTGGCAGCCGATAGGCGCTCCCCTGCTGAGTGCCCAGGCTCTGAAGTCGCCTCCACGCCGCAATGGTGGTGGTTGGGTGGCAATCCTTTCTGTGCTTCTTCTTGGCAGCACCAGCCACGGACTCACTGACCACGCTTAGTTTGGTGGCCTCGATCCCGAAGTCGCACAGGGGGCACTTCCACCCTACCTCGTCAGCAGCAGCAAAGGCCCCAATCAGGCCAGTCTGGGCACACTCGCGGTAGCCGACCTCAGCTTTGTGGTAGCAAACATTGTGGCTGTGCTTCTGCTTGTGGACAATGTCAACGGAACCGGCACTGGACACAAAAGGGCAGCGCGGGCACTTCCACTCATAAATGCCAGAGTCGAGTATGAAGCTGGAACCCCGCCTCCAATACCTTTCTCGTGGGGTGGGCTCCTTGTCATTCTCAGTGTCGATGTCCTGGCCGCAGTCCGGGGACGCAGGCTCCGCCTCAGCGCTGGCTGCTGTCTTGCTGTTCAAGCGGAAGCGCTTGGACGAAGCCTTTTTGCCACTTGCAGCCTCATCGGCGCTCCAGACTGTCGAGCACGACCGGTTCCCGCTGCATGGCCGCTGGCTAGCAGCTGCAGCCAAAGTCCAGACCGTGTGCTGGGACGAAGCTGCACGTGTCCACACAGTGCCCTCTGAGTTCACCTCGGACCCGCCTCCTCCTCTGAGGGGCTTGGTGGGAGATTGCTTCACTGCCATGATCTCCGCCGGCATCTTGTCGTCCTCCGGCAGAAGGGCATCGAAGTGACTGCCATTCCACCACAAAGCGACTGTTCTCTGGGCATCCGCGTGGAGGCAGACCGCCGGCCATGTGATATCTCTGGGGACGATCACGATGCGGACGTTGTGCATCCTGGCCAGGGCTGCGGCTTCCATCTCTCCTCCCCATGTTCCCGGGGCAGCAATCGCAGTCAGGTAGTCG